AAATTGCGATAAATTCTGCACATTTGCAAAATTACGCAGGTTGCAGAATTCAGCTTTTCTCGGTGCAAAATTTGGAATGCCATGCCATCGAGAGTTTGGAAACCTTTCGGCCTCTGTGCCACAGAAATGCATAAAAAACTCCCTGTATTTCCAACACTTTTTTTTTTTAAAGTGCACTAGTTGGCTGTGCAAATAGCTGGTGTTGATGATAAACCTCAGCCTTTTATAGCCTAAAAAATAGCTTTCCCCCCTAGCCTTTCTCTAAACATATTATTACAAATATCTGTGATGGCTTGCCTGCCTTTACTGGTTCCAAGCTCACCTCATCCAATATATATAACCTCATCTAGCCAGGAGCGGTTGGGATTGTCACATAAATGTTCCAGACTTCTCACTCATGCCTCTTCCGTTCATCTGAGCTGTCTGTCGGATGCTGCAGCCTTGTACCAGTTTGGTATAAAAATCACAGCTGCTAAACTTTTACAGACATTGCACATACATAATTGAAATGTTTTCCACTGGCACCCCTCTCTGCAGACTGATTTTTTTCATAATGTGCCTTACGCTGCCTTGTGGTCCCTTCTAGGAAAACAGGGGCCATAGATTACCAAGCTTTATTTATCTTTATATAGAGGGGGAATTTTTTTTAAGGCTTGGACATTGCAAGAGCCTTGGACATTGTAAACAATTCGATGTGTTCTGTGCCGACTCTGCCACAGTAATATTCTTGAGCTTTATACCTGTAAGAGCCGGTTCCCAACATTCCGTCACACCTCAGCGTGACCAAAAATATGCAAACTGGCTTACAATGCATAGATTTTTCTATTAAAAAAAACAACTCCAGACATTGTGGGGGTTGGTGCAAGTCTGCTCACAGAGCTCTGTGACTTAGCTTGGAAAATGGACTAGCTCAGGGTAGTCAGCATCGTGCCTTCCAGATGCTGTTGGACTTCAATTCCTATCAGCCCCAGATAGCATGGAGAACAGTCAGGGATGGTGGGAGTTGGAGTAACATCAGGAGAGCACCAGATTGCCTACTTGTGGACTACCCTGTAAAGCTGCTGCAGTTGGACATACTGGGGCAGATAGACACTCTATTACCCAATCAGGACCCTAAACATTGAGATGGAGAGGACCAACCTGGTTCCATCCTGTCACAAGCAAGCCTGCTTCAACCTGAAAAGGGGTTTTTGTGAACCATTGTTCTGCCAGGACCTCCGCAGAAGCAGCCGAACACTTCAGGAAAGAAGGGGAGAGTCATTGCGCCTGAAGCCCACCTTCGATTCTTGAAGGTTATTGGAGGCAGGCTCTTGCTTTTTGCAGAGTTACTGGCATTTCGACAGTCCTTCGGAATTTTGCGGTTCACTCTTCCCTTCCCTTTTCTTTTTTGACACTCGCATGCATTTAATTATGGCAGCAGTTGGCAGCCCTGGACTCTCCTTGCAATTCTATTTAAAAGGCTCGTTTTGAGGGGTCCATAACTCAGGACTTTTAATTTGCAATGGGCTGAAACTTGGCAGACAGTGAGCCAATTTCAGAATCCGTTCTGTGGGCTCTAAATCTAAATATGATGGCAGGAAATGCCTCTTCCGAGAGGCAAGATATAGTGCTCTGCCTCTTTGAATTAGAGCTTCGCCACAGTGTGCTCGTAGCTCAGTGCTGCCTCCAAATCTCTACCCAAAGGTTTAATTGGTAGCCAAAGGTTTCGCAAAGGCCGCAGAGCCTTTTGCAGAAGTGTTGGTTGGAAAAGACCCATGTTCTCATCTCTCAACAGGGAGACGATCAGGAAGCTGGGTTGTCCTGTGTATGGGAGCTTGGAAATTCACAGTAGTCGAAGAATTACCCCCAAATACTCCAGTAATAAGATCATTAAGTTCGCAGATGATACAACGGTGGTTGGTTTAATCACGGCTGGAGAGGGGGAGGCGGCCTATAGGAAGGAAGTTGAGTAGTTGGGGGAGTGGTGCAGGAAAAACAACTTACTCCCTAACTTAAAGAAAACAAAAGAGATCATTGTGGACTTTAGGAAATGTAAATTGAATATTCAGCGACTTATTATTGAGGGGAAGTGCGTGGAACAGGTCTCGGTGTTTCGATTTCTGGGAATGGAGTTGAGAGACGACCTAACCTGGAGAGAGAACAGCAAAGACCTGGTGAAGAGAGCACAGCAGAGGTTATATTTTCTGAGAATCCTCTGGAAAAACAATCTCTCAAAGAACCTGTTGATGGCATTTTACCATTGCACTGTGGAGAGCGTACTAACTTATGGTCTGTGTGTGTGGTTTGGGAGCTGCACGGCCAGGGAAAAAACAATGCTATTCAGGGTTGTAAAGACTGCAGAGAGAATAATTGGGTGCACTCTTCCCACCTTAGATCAAATCTGTGATGCCAGGTGCCATAAGAAAGCGGCAGAGATAGCACAGGATAGTACGCACCCCAGAAATGATCTCTTTCAGCTTCTGCCTTCTGGAATAAGGTATAGGGTTATAAAGGTCAGGACTAGCCGCCTGAGAAACAGTTTCTATGCAAATGCAATTCTGGTCCTAAACGCAGTATAAGGGGTCTCTATAGTATAGTGTAGGGACGCGGGTGGCGCTGTGGGTAAAACCTCAGCGCCTAGGACTTGCCGATCGTCAGGTCGGCGGTTCGAATCCCCGCGGCGGGGTGCGCTCCCATTGCTTGGTCCCAGCGCCTGCCAACCTAGCAGTTCGAAAGCACCCCCGGGTGCAAGTAGATAAATAGGTACCGCTTACTAGCGGGAAGGTAAAAGGCGTTTCCATGTGCTGCGCTGGCTCGCCAGATGCAGTTTGTCACGCTGGCCACGTGACCCGGAAGTGTCTGCGGACAGCGCTGGCCCCCGGCCTCTTAAGTGAGTTGGGCGCACAACCCTAGAGTCGGACACGACTGGCCCGTACGGGCAGGGGTACCTTTACCTTTTTTATAGTATAGTGTATTTTAAAATGGGGTTTTAGAGTTTTTAGGGGTTTTTAATGTTTTATGTAGTTTTGTAGTGATTTTATGTAGTTTTTATGTAGTTTTGTGGTAGTTTTATGTAGTTTTTCAATTTCATTGTTCTGCATGGGACAATGACAATATATTGTTATCGTTATCGAATTAAGTCCAGTGTATCCCACACCAATTGTTTGCATTTTGCATTTAATGGCTGAATAAATTGGCAATTCACTGTGCCCCTGACTGTGCATGCAGTAGCAAGAAAGAGCACATCGGCTGCCTTTCATCATGAAAACAAAGAGCCTTAATTTCTGTAATTAGCAGGGCTGAGGCTTGGGTTAGAGGTGCTGACTTTTGATCTCAAAAAAGTACCAAGCAGGCCCAGAGGCTGGAACCAAATATGAAATTTGACAGGTTGAGTGTATTGAGCCACGATAGAACTTAACTCAATCTGATGGGTTTTGAAGCCAGGGTGTAATTTTAACAGGCTGTAGGCAGAGCCTGGAAAAATCTGGCACTAATGGAAGAGCGAAGAATGAGTGTGCAATATGATGAACAATGGATTACTGGCTTTTCAGCCCCCAGTACTACTGTTTTTCTTATGTGAACAACCCTAGACTCTGTTCTGCTTGGAACTTGGGAGTTTTGCCTAGATCTTTTGTGTGCCTCTGTTGTTGGCGGAAATGTATTCTTAGGTTCCTTTTGCATTCACAAAGACTTCTGCTTTGGGACAGCTGCACCATTTCTGCTTCTTGCGAATATTTGAAGGAGCGATTATGACTTCCTATACGCTGTAAGGACTTCCGTCTAGCTTTCCCCCGTAGCTTTCAGGTAAAACAAGCTATTCTGAAGCCTCTTCTGCTTCCTTCTCAGGTGGACCTACCATGACTTCTTCAATAGGTATCGAATTCTTATGAAAAAGAAGGACACCTCAAAAAAGGAGGACAGGAAAGTGATTTGCAAGATGCTGCTGGAAAGCCTAATTAAGGTGAGCAGGGTTAAGAGTCTTTCCACATCTCCACATGTTGCCTTGGTACTTGAGTTCCCAAGTTCGCTTCCTCCTCTGCTGCCCAGTTGGCCAGGTGTTGCCATGACCTGGGGGACCTTGGAGATTCTAGCAGAATAAAACTCTGTCAGAAGGATTGAATGAAGTAAATGAGACATGGCCATGGAAGTTGTTCTGCCCTCAGTCTAAAAAGGACCCTTTTTGTACATCCAGATTCTTAAGATTAGTTTAGCAGTGTTTTGCCCATTCCGGGGCCTCCTTTTAATCTCACTTTTTTAGAGCCGAATTGAGCATCATGTCTTCAGCTGGTTTGACTGCTGTTCTTGTGGGTGAATGCTGGGAATTGCAGTTCAGCTGCAGGGAGAGAGCTTAGGGCTATCTTAACAGAGAATTCTCAGCAACGCACCTGGGAACTCCAGCCCAGATTCATTGGGGAAGCCATGATAGTAGAACTGGTATAACCCCACAAAGTTTGCTTTGTAGATTAGGGTTCAGGAGACCGCAGTGACTTTGCCTGCAGCAGAAAGTTTTCAAATCCTTTCCCATTCTTGTGTTACTGCTCAGAGATGAATAAGCATAATAAAATATGGAAAATTTGACATCTGCCCCAAACTTACTCTGAGATCGCCTGAGCTCTTTTCTTGATTACCAAACTTTTAAACAGGGCTGCCCTTCTAGTTATATATTTGCTCTCTCCAGCCATACATATTTCTTGCACAACACCTTTGAGTCTGCCAAGTAAAGACTTTACAAGGGGAAGGATCAAATCCTTCCTCGCACCATTATAATGCGCACAGTAGAGTTTCCTGGGAATTCATCAAAAGGCTGCCATACCATTTCTTCCAACGGGGTCTGGTTAAATTGACCATCCATAGAGGCTCCTGGCAAAACTAAATAGTAATGTCTGAAGTAACTCCCAGAGACAGCTCCTTTCTTTTGCTGGATTCTGACTTGCAATGTCACAAGACTCCATCGCTCTCTGTTGCTTATGTAATCCTGAATCTGAGCGTATGAACATTGATAAAAGGGTGTTAAAGCCCAGGAATGGCTGTGGCTCAGGTGTAGAGCATCTGTTTTGCATGCAGAAGGTCTCAGGTTCAATCCCTGGTGTCTTCCCGGTAGGGCAGAGAGAAACGCTTATCTAAAAGTCTGGAGAGCTGCTGCCAGTCAGTGTAGAGCTACCGTATTTTTCGCTCTATAGGACACACTTTTTCCCCTCCAAAAATTAAGGGGAAATGTGTGTGCGTCCTATAGAGCAAATGCAGGCTGCGCGGCTAAGCCCAAAGCCAGAACAGGGAGACGGAACGCTGCAGAGCGCTCCGTCTCGCTGTTCTAGCTTGGGGATGGCTGTGCGCAAAGCCTCTGCAGGGCAACGGGGTGCCTTCACGACGCTGCCCTGCAGAGGCTAGAAAGGCTGTTCCCAAGCCAGAACAGCGAGACGGTCTCGCTGTTCTAGCTTGGGGATGGTAGCTGCCTGAAGCCTCCAGAGCACAGCGGGAACTCCCGCTGCGCTCCGGAGGCTTTGGGTGAATGCACCTTGAACGCACCTTGTTTTAGAGGGGGAGAACAAGGGAAAAAATGTTTTCCCCTGTTCTCCCCCTCCTATGGTCTGGTGCGTCCTATAGAGCGAAAAATACGGTAGATGGATCAATGGTGTGATTCATTATAAGGCAGCTTCCTGTGTTCTTCTCCTCTCCTGCATTGACTGGCAGCTGCTGTCCAAGGTCTCAGACAGAAGGGTCCTTTGGGTCCCTTGCTATTTGAGGTTATTTTTAACTGGCAGTGTCAATTAAGGACCCGCAGCTGACCTGCAACCCATCCAGATGTTTCTAATTCCGAAATTAGTTGTACCACCAGCACCCAAGGCAGCAGTAAATAAGCTGCAAGTTGCACATCATAAATTTTTTGAAACTTCATGTGTAACCTGAAAAGGGGAGAACTGGGTATATGTTTGGTGTGCAAATGTGCCCCTAGCTTTTCTTATGCTCATTGTTCACCACACTCTGACCTGCGTGAGAGGAAACGGGTCACTTGTCTCATTTTGGGATACCTGCCATCTGCACAGATGTGAAGCTTACGCCTAATTTCACCTAGTTGCAAAATGTGATACAGGCCGTCTTGCATGCTGATGGGGAAAACTAAACGGCTGTTTCCCTTAACCCAGTTTCCCTTTATGCTTTTGAAAAGGATCCTGACAAGTTCCAGTTTGGGAGGACCAAGATCTTTTTCCGGGCGGGCCAGGTGGCGTACCTGGAGAAACTACGGGCGGATAAGTTCCGGGCCGCTACCATCATGATACAGAAGACCGTGCGGGGCTGGCTGCAGAGAGCAAAATATCAGAAGATGAAAAAGGCAGCACTTAAAATCCAGAGGTATACCAGAGGACACCTGGCACGCAGGTAAGCAATAAAACACACGTTCTCATGAGGGCAGTGTAAGAGATACGAATTGGTCGCTGATGCTGATAACTTTGAAGTCTAGGAACTTCAGCTTTATATGTTGCAACCCAGTGCATATGAACTTGCAAAGCTGCCATGTACTGAATCTTGGGGACATGTAACAAATATAGTGACCTCCTGATAGAGTCCAACAGCAGTTTTGATCAGCCCAAGCAAGCACAATGAATGGTCAGGGATGGTGGAAATTGTTTATTTATTAATTATATGTCTGTACTGCCCTTCAACCAAGGACCACAGGGCAGTTTACAATACAAAAACACATAACGTTGTTGGCACCCGTCTGTCTAGAGAGAGTGTGTCTCTTACATAATAATAATATAATAATAATTTATTATTTATACCCCGCCCATCTGGCTGGGCCTCCCCAGCCACTCTGGGTGGCTTCCATAGAAACCAAAAATACAGTAAAATATCACACGTTAAAAACTTCCCTGAACAGGGCTGCCTTAAGATGTCTTCTGAATGTCAGGTAGTTGTTTATCGCTTTGACATCTGCTGGAAGGGCGTTCCACAGGGTGGGTGCCACTACCGAGAAGGCCCTCTGCCTGGTTCCCTGTAGCTTTGCTTCTCACAATGAGGGAACTGCCAGAAGGCCCTCGGAGCTGGACCTCAGTGTCTGGGCAGAATGATGGGGGTGGAGACGCTCCTTCAGGTATACTGGACCGAGGCCGTTTAGGGCTTTAAAGTTCAGCACCAACACTTTGAATTGTGCTCAGAAACGTACTGGGAGCCAATGTAGGTCTTTCAAGACCGGTGTTATATGGTCTCGGCGGCTGCCCCCAGTCACCAGTCTAGCTGCCGCATTCTGGATTAGTTGTAGTTTCTGAGTCACCTTCAAAGGTAGCCCCACGTAGAGCGCATCGCAATAGTCCAAGCGGGACTTGCAGTAGTCCAAGCAACATGAAGGTGTTGCATCGATGGTAGTGCTACCATTGAAAAGTCTGGTTTCCCTGAAGCTTCCAGGTATCAAACTTCTGGCCAGGGTGATAATGGTGCAACCATGCTTCACACAGCAATGAATGTGGTATCAGTAGCCTTCCCAGCTAATGTTCCTTGTTATTTCTACTACTTTCTTCTAAGTTGCTTTGAGACACTTTGGTGCAAAAAGCCACAAATTAATATTATTGGGGGAAGTCATGTGCTTCAAATGTACATTGAATACCCTTTAAATATACGGCGTGGCTCTCCCCACCCCCTAATAATAAAAATAATTTATTATTTATGCCCCACACATTATTTATACCCCGCCCATCTGGCTAGGTTTCCCCAGCCACTCTGGCCGGCTCCCAACCGAATATTAAAAACACAACGCAGCATTAAACATTAACAACTTCCCTAAACAGGGCTGCCTTCAGATGTCTTCTAAATAGTTGTTTATTTCCTTGACATCTGGTGGGAGGGCGTTCCACAGGGTGGGCGCCACTACCGAGAAGGCCCTCTGCCTGGTTCCCTGTAACCTCACTTCTTGCAGTGAGGGAGCCACCAGAAGGCCCTTGGAGCTGGACCTCAGTGTCCGGGCTGAACGGTGGGGGAACCATGTCCTTGGCAAGCAAGTATTGTTTTAAATAATTTGCTCTAATGTTTTGTGTCCCTTTCCCTTTGGAGCAAACCTTGAAGAATATCTATTATTTGGGAATATACAACAAATGATTCCTCTATTTAAGGGGGCGAAAGTCTTTTTCACTCATGCTGGCACCTGCATTGTCCTTGTGTGATAGACTTGGTTTCTGCCATATGATAAGAACAGAAAGCCCTGCAGGAATCAAACGCAATAGGAAATTGGATCAGCCGCCGCCACTTTCACAAGCTCTTTTTTTTTTTTTTAATCGCTCCGAGCAAAGAACAAATAATAAAATCCAATGAAGCACACTTAACCATCTCGAAAAACTTGAGGTTTTATAAATATTTATTGAAAGAGATGTAATAACGAGCTGTCGTATATTCCACAAGCCAATACTCTGATCTGCAGTACTACATGAGGATACCAACTGCATCCCAAATTAAGAACCGTGTAGGAACCGCTTGCAGTCCTACTCCTAGATGTTGCCAAACCAGTGCACATTGCTTTAAATGTCAAATCAATTTGCTGCCGTTGTGCTGGATTTCTCGTAACCAGTAGTTACGCTGCACTACACTTGCTTTTGGTGCTGGGGGACTGGAGCAGCTAGCTGCGATGAGGATGTCTTTCAGGGCTTTAAAATTTAAGGCCGGGATGTGAAAAGCTAAGAGATACGGAGTCGGTTTATGTGCTACATTTTATTTCAATCCTGGAAGAGCACTGACAACTTTTCGGACACCGTAGCAAAGTTTAATAAAAGTTGCCAGGCAGGGCCGGATCGTCTGTTGGGCAGACAATACATTTGTCCCGTGTGGTGGCCTTAAAAGGGCTACCCAGCAGGCACCTTCTACACACCACCAATGTCTTCAGTGGAGCTTACAACCAGTGAAGAATTTAGAAAGCACAAGTCAAAGGGTATGGGGAGCAGTGGCAGAGGAAGCTGCTTGGGCGCCTGGGGTGGCTTGCCCGGGGTAGGGCGCACTGCCCATAGGGACGGCGCGCACCGCGGGGCCTCTGGAGTCTGCCTGCCTCCTCCCACTCAGCCACCCTACAGCTGGTGGGGGGAGGCAGCAGGTGGATTATTTGGGCAGAGCGGAAACTGCGCACGCCCAAGCCACTGCGTCTCTCCTAGGAGAGACGCGTCGCTCGGGTGCGCTGCAGGCCTCGCGGTGAGTGCTGCCTCAGTGGGGTGTGACACCCAGGGCAGCCCACACCTACCGCACCCCCCTTCATCTGCCACTGATGGGGAGAATTTGTTTCCCCACACTTCCCAGTGCACTTTCCATATCACAAGAAGTCTGGGTTGTTCTCTTTCTGCTTTGAAGTGAGCAGCTTACCACCCAAGTGCTGCCAAACCCACTTGAATTGTGCAACTTGAATTTGCTGAAAATGTGATTGGACTCTCATGGCTGTCCGGGAGCAGCAGCCTAAGTTAACAGAGGAAGGGACTGCCGCATCACCCCATCTCACTCCACCGGCACCCCCAGCTTAATCATGTGTTTCTAATAAATTAAGACGGATGCAAATGAGAGACAATGTGTTTTGCACAACTGGAACACAATGAGTCTTGGGGTGAAGACTGAGAGACATTCCAAATGGTGGTTTCGGCACTCATTTGCTGCATTTGGGGGGCGTTTGTTTTCATGGCAAGAACGTTAGCCACTTCCACCACACTTAGCAGCCAAATAACATCGAGTGTCAGTTGGGAAAGAAAATGAGAGGGAATACAATGGAGCAGCCTGGATCAGGGCATGACTGGCTGTGACCCTGGACAGGAACCATTGCAGGAACCAGTGAGGGAGGACACATTGCAAAATTTGGTTGCAGGACTCACTTGTTGTTGTTGTTAAACCTTTTAATTCTTGCACTTTTACAGACTGGCTGACCGTCTTAGGAAGACGAGAGCAGCCATTGTTTTACAGAAACAATATCGGATGTTGAGGATCCGCCGGGCGTACCAAGCAATCCACAGGGCTGCTGTCACAATCCAAGCCTTCACCCGAGGAATGTTTGTCAGAAAGACCTATCGAAAGGTAAGCTGCTTCTTTTTGAAAATACGTCAGTACACAGGAAACTTCCAACTTGACCTATCAGCGTTC